TATATATGATATATATTTATATATATGAATTCGGAATTCATTACCAGTGTTGGGGATAATGCATTACAAGTTATGTGAGTTACTTTTTTCATGTAACTAGTAAAGTAACGTATTACTTTTTAATTCACAAGAAAGTATCTCAGTTACTTTTTCAAATAAGTAATGCCAGTTGCTTTGTTTTCCCATTTATTGACTGCCAGCTCTCCTGTCCCCATGTTGAGAGAAATCAGGAGTGAGTGCAGAGGCGTTGTGTGCGCTGTGTAAACAAGATGTTACTGTAGTTCTAGACTAAATGTCAACATGCGTTTACTCATCTCACTCGCACAAAATCAGATTCAGTATTCCTCAAAATGAGAAAAAAACGTTGAAATGCAAACTCAGAATATGACGCAAACCTGCAGTAATTAAATGTTAAATAACACATATATAATACGTATTTAATCCCATTTTATTAATCAGTGTCTTTGCTGCTGACCTTCAATGATCCAATTCAACCATACTAAGCAAAAATGACTTTAGATCCGAGAAAAAGTAATGTAAATGTAACGTAACACATTACTTTCTATAAAAGTAACTAAGTAATGCAATTAGTTACTTTTTTTATGGAGTGATGCAATTTTGCAGTGCAATACTTTTAAAAGAAACTTTCCCCAACAATGTTCATTACCATGACCTATTAATTTGTTCCCTCATTTTAGATAAATTGTTGCCACAAATTAAGAATTATTGAGGAAAAAAAATTAACTTAAATGATTTTAGCAAATGGCTGCAATATAACAAAGAGTGAAAAATTTAAGGGGGGTCTGAATACTTTCTGTACCCACTGTATATATACAGTATATATACGTATATATATCACAGGTTCCATAAAATATTAAATAGCACAACTGATAATCGTAATTTCAACACTGATAATATTTCTGAAGGATCATGTGACATTAAAAACTGGATTAATGATGCTGACATTCATCTCTGAATCACAGGAATAAATTACATTTTAAAATATATTCAAACAGAAAACATTTTTTTAATAGTAATAATAGTTTACAATATTACTGTTTTTCCTGTATATTTAAAAAATGAAATAAATGCAGTCTTGGTGAGCATTTGAGTGTTCTTTCAAAACATAATCTCTTACCCCAAACTTTTAAACAGTAGAAATAATACATAAAATAAGCTCAATGAAATCCTGAACACATTTGGCTTTTTGCTGAAATTCAATACCGATGCGTTTTATCTTTCTCATCTCTTGTTTTTTTTATTTTTTGGCAGACTGTAGGAAAAGTAACTCAACTACACACCATTTGAATGAAACTTGTTTTGTTGTAATGTCAATTTGCCATGACACCGACAGGCATAATACTGAACTAATGTGATACAAACAAATAATTTCTTTTATTGATGGTTTATGTCTGCTCTCAGGGCGTGTTGGACAGGCGGTGGCGCTGAGGGCCAAAGCATTCGGCTTCAACGTGATCTTCTATGACCCGTACCTGTCTGACGGGTTGGAGCGAGCCCTGGGGCTGCAGAGAGTCAACACCCTGCAGGACCTGCTCTTCCACAGCGACTGCGTCACCTTACACTGCAGCCTCAACGAGCACAACCACCATCTCATCAACGACTTCACCATCAAACAGGTGTCGCCTACAGCCTACAATCACAAGCACAAGAGCATACATGAGCTGGTGCCACATTCGTGTTTGATCAATACCGTGTGTTGACCGTAGATGCGTCAGGGCGCCTTCCTCGTGAACACGGCACGTGGCGGTCTGGTGGATGAGAAAGCTCTGGCCCAGGCTCTGAAAGAGGGCAGAATACGGGGAGCAGCCCTGGACGTCCATGAGACAGAGCCCTTCAGGTGAGGGACAACAACATTTGATGCTGAAGAATTGTGATGTTTTGACATTTGGATGGATTGCTTGCTCCAAACTCCATTTCTGTTCCACACCCTGCCTCTACGAGTCTTTTTTGTGTTGTTATTTGGCTGCAAACCCCACAAAATATGAGTCTGTTTGCTACAAATGCATTACAGGAAAACTGTTTCCTGAAGGCAGTTTCAAAGGAGAAAAGCAGCAAAGAGAAATGACAGCATAAATAGGGGTTCACTTTTGTAAATGAGATTAAATTGCTTTCATACCAATTGTGAAAGCCAGTGTTATTTTAGTATTGTAGTATGTATATATATTTATTATTTTTGTATGTATATATATTTCTTTCAGTTTTTATCATTTCATTTCATTTGTTGTTATAATTTTATTCATGTTTAAAATATAATTTTTATTAAAAATGTGTATTCTTTTCTATTTAATTTTTATGTGCTTTTGTAATTTTTATTCGTTTTTTTGTGTGTGAATATTATATTTCTATTTAGATTTAATCCGTTTTAGTCAGTTTCATTTAAATTTATTTCCTGTGCTTCAGCTTATTTTAGTAACAATATTTAGATTGAATTCTTTTATTTTATTTCAGATTTATTTGAATTAACAAAAAAAAGTTTTAGATTCAGTTAACAATTAGAGCTGTCAAGTGTTTCAATTTCCATGATGTGCCGATTAATTAATCTTAATTATTCACAAATTAATGGCACAACAATTTGGGCTTAGAAATGAGCCCCCAAAAGTTATTATTGTGTTAAATGGAATAGACATTACAATAAACTAGCTTTAGAAATATTTATAAATATTTTGATTCAACATAGAAAAAAAAAGAATATTAAAATATGAAATGATACTCTAAATATGAAACTAAAACTGTCAATCGATTCATTCAGAAACGAAGCAAGTGACTTTTTATGGATTTATAAAATCTTTTTACTAGATTCGTTCAAAATCGCGGATTCATTCAGTAACAAAACACTACTGTGTGTTGCTCAGAGATGCACAGCAGTTTTGCTGTGGCTTTGTTTGAAACTACTTTAGTTGGCGAAATTGCGCAAAAACAGAAAAACTATAACAATATTAACTTGTTTATTGTACTGTTGTATGAAATCAATATCACATAAGCAATCGCCAAGATATTCTGATTAAAAAAGCACTCTTGCTCATGTGATATTGCTAAACTGTCAAATGATATAAATACAAAAACCCCATATGGGTCATTTTTTGCCCTCATACTGTATGTAAATGCAATTTTCAAGGCTAGAAAAGTCATAGAAATTTATTAAAATCTTGAAAAATTCTCTGCTCTAAAATATTTCATCGTCTAAATCAGTGGTTCTCAAACTTTTTTCAGCGGCGTACCCCCTGGGGCATTTAACATTCTTCCAGACCGCAGTCACAACTTTTCTATTAAAGGACAATCAATTATTTGCCCCCTTAAATTGATTTACAGGTAAAAAAAATGTTTACCTTTATAGAGGCAAATATTTTCTATCCTTATTAATTGTGTCATGTTTTATGTCATATTCTTAACATTACATTACAAGTGTATTATTAATATAATAAATAAAGCAATAAATGATGGCAAATCGAAGTGATACTTGTAGATTTAAAAATAAAACCGCCAGTAGGTGGCGGCAAGTCGCTGTCTTTAATGAGCCAGGCGTCTCGTCATTCATTCATTCATTCAGTAACAAAAATGCTGTAGTTATGAATGGGTTATTAATCACTGACTCTCCAAATCGTTCAAAGCCACAGATTCGTTCACTAATGAAACACAGCTGTATGTTGCTTGGAGACGCACACCAGATGATACGGATTTCGTTGGAACTATTATTTCATTGCAAAATAGAACAAACATGACAATTTTCTGTTTAAAATGTAGACTACATTTAAAATGTAAAATGTTCTCTTAGTCTTTTTTTGTTGAACTGTTGTAAAAATTGTGTGTCTGTGTCGAGAGTTTAAATCGATTTCAGTCCGTATCGATATTTGCTCTTCATGCTATTAAGTGAAGATCTACTTTAAAGATATATTGAACAGCCACGCAATTTGCTAATGCTGCATATTCAGCGGGCATCCTATCACATGCAGTAGCACGCTGCTTGTGTGGATGCAGTCAGTTTTGACCGCAAAAGATGAGGTAAACTGATTGGATATCATGTATTTGACCGTTTACAGCACCCCCATTTTCCTGTTTTTACATTAGAAGCGGCATTTTGATTGTTAGAAATACATGTTCGGTTTTAATGTTACTTTAAGTTGGGGTAGAATTCAATGATTGCCAAAACTCAGAGCTCTAACCAACCACTGCTCTAAATCTTGCTCTCTAGAAAAGGATTTTTCCTCCTCTAGTAATCACGAAGAACGGAAGAGTTCATAAATTCATTGGTCACCTTGTCCATACACTGTCCTTACACTGACACACACATACAGCTGTATAAAAGTCTGACACGCTCATTGAGTGAATATGACTTCAGTTTCAGCCAAGGTCCTCTTAAAGACGCGCCCAACCTGATCTGCACCCCTCACGCGGCGTGGTACAGCGAGCAGGCCTCCATTGAGATGCGTGAGGAGGCGGCGCGGGAGATCCGTCGAGCTATTACCGGTACGTCGCCACATGACGCTGTCAGTAACACTCTTTACTGCCTCAGAGCTGGCATTTGTCAAATGATTTGAGAGCGCTGGGTGTCTGACCTCTTTCATCAGTTGAGTGAAAACCTTGTTCTTTAATTGCAGCTCCGCAGGCTTGATGTGCTGTGATCAATGACTCGGGGTTTTCCTGTAATGAAGCTGTTTTCCTCCTCCAGGTCGCATTCCAGACAGCCTGAAGAACTGCGTCAACAAAGAGTTCCTCACACAGACCACGCACTGGGCCGGCATGGACCCTACTGTTGTTCATCCAGAACTCAATGGAGCCTACAGGTACAGCAAACTACTGAAGTATTAATTTATCGTAACTGAATGTAGGATACAGGTGGTGCTGTTGTGTTGTATTTGCACAGACATTTTTACCAGGACTTCTGGTGAAAGAATAATCCACAGATGGCCATGCAAGATTGCGTTTACTATGCTTATCAGTACTTTGGATGTTCCTGGTGTTACAGCAAAATTCTTCTAATCTTTCTTCAGTAATGTCACTTGTAACCGCCTCTGAAACGCCTATGCCATGTGCAGTGGTGTATAAAGTACCTGAAAGCTATACTCAAGTAAAAGTACAGATATCTTGAAGTTGAAGTCACCGTTTAGAATAGTACTTGAGTAAAAGTCTTAAAGTATGTGATATTTATTGTAATTAAGTATGACGTACTTAAACGTACTTAAGTATTGAAAGTAAAGTACAAGTAAATGCAAAATGGAAAAGAAGCAAATAAATATATATAAAAAATGTTCATACAAAGCTTGAGTAGCAAGATTGTGTTCAGTTTTAACTCTTTCTTCCATTTTGTATTTTTTGGTAAGAATAAGAAGCACTTCATCCGGTACTTAGTGTATTTCATTCCAACATCAGAAAACATTTCTGGAATCTGCATCTGAAATAGCATTTAGATGTATTTACACAGTTTATGTATCTCAGAGGGGACACATTTATTCAACCGATTCGTTCAAAAAGCTGATTCATTCAATAAGTAAACACCATTGCTCAGAGACACAAAACAGTCTTTGTTTGGAACTATTTTCGTTGGCAAAATTAAGCAAAAACAAGCAATATTACCTCTAAAATGTAAGTCATTTATTGCTTTACTGACCTTGTATAAAATTATTATTAAATGTGTTCATGCTGATATCTGCAGAAAAAAGGTACTCTTTGTGTGATATAAGTTAACTATATTAAATTATATTAATATAAAAAGCATACAGAAGCATTTTTGCCTTCTACAATTTAGAATGCCTGGAATTTTGAGTATTAAAAAAGTAATTTTTAAAAATTATTTTTACTTATTATTAAGTATTATTACTTCGTTACATTAGACCACTGGCCACGTGTGTGGGGAAAATAATTAGTGATCGACTGATATGGGCATGGGCGTCGCTAGGCCATTTTTAAGGGGGCTGTAGCCCCCCTAAAATGACTACTCAGCCCCCCTAAAATTTAGCGATTAGCTCCATAAATTGTACACAAATTCGTGATCGCCTCAGTCCCCTTTAAATTTCAAATGAAAAAGGCGGCAGACTTCGATCGGCTCCTCCCCGTCTTTCAGTGCGTTCAGTGCGACGTAGAGCGAGAAACAGAGGACAAGGTCTGTGTTTATCGATAGATTGTTATAATATCTGCATCTGTGAAGTTCTTTGTCATAAATACAGTTTACAAAATATCATGGAGCAATAATTGGTTCCCCATCTACTGTAGCCTAAGTTTTCACTGCGTTCACCCCTCATCACACCACAGCTGTTTCCTCCAGTGAAAATGAAGCACATATGAACGCATACTTTATAAAACGATCATGTTGCCATTTTCATTTGAAAATTTAACTTTCAATATAATACATATTCCAGTGTATGTGGCAAAGAGGTTTGCATACTTGAGCTAAGGAAAGAGGATTGTAGAAATGCAAACAGTAAAATTTTGTGTTTGTACAGTAAACAGGTTGTGTGTGTGTGATCATGAAGACTTGAATTTGGCTTATTCAGTACTCAAATGTTATACCTATCAATGCAATACTGTGGAATACTGCAATAAGTTTAGTATACAACCCCTATTAATCAAACATTTTTTATCTTATTTATATATACTGTATATATATATATTTATTATTAGGCTAGTATTATTATACGCTCACTGGGGGCTGAGCCCCCATAAAATGAATGGGTTCATAAAATGAATCGCCCCTGGATATGGGTTTATTGCCCATAATGACATCTAGGGAGCAGAGTGGACAGTAGCCAGTATTAATTATGATATGTACTGTATATAGTGCTGGGCAGTTTGACCAAAAATTTATATCGGTATTTTTCTAAATTATACCGGTTTCACGGTACACGACGGTATTTTTTTTTTCATGCATGACCGGGTGTTAACCATATTTTCTACTGATTGAGAGGAAATACTGCAGTATATTGACTTAGAATGCCCTATTTTACTGTCATGATGAGTGAATGTTGTCAAAAAATACCACACTACATAGTGACTAAACACGACCCCTTTTAATACATGTTAACTAGGAGTCACTCTCATTTATAATCGCGGCATCGTCTGATAAAATCAACATGCATCTACACTAAAGAGCGGCTATACGGTTGTTTTGGCTATATTACTTTTTTGTCTCATGCAGCGCACTGCCTGCGTCTGAGTTGCTGACCCCAAACTTTTTTAATCGAGATTGTACAATATGATGCATCACATCATATGTGTGATACATTTAAACGTGGCTCATCCAATCAGATTGTAACTATTCATTTTTAATCCACCGTTATGCAGTAAGATTCTAGCTCAATAGAGTGGTGGAACTGTGATGTCACTTTGTAGGCAAAAACCAGGAAGCGAGTTAGCATTTTAGCACTTCCGGTTCCATCGTCCCAGAGTCAATGGGTTTTTTGAATGGGATTTTGGTTAAATCCCTAAAATAAGGTCCGTGGTTCACACAGGCTCAAGATACTTTCACGTTTTATTCTACGACATAAAACACACCAGTTACACCCCACTCGTGATTTTTTAAAACTGTTACGTTTCTTAAAAAAGACGGTTGCTAACAAGTTGCTAAATGGGACTACAGGCGTCGGAGACATTCAACGTCATCACGTCGAACAGTTTATCAATCAATATTTTCCAATCGTAGTATAATTTGTAATACAATTAATTGTAGAATAACCAGTTAATAGTTTCCCGCATTTTATATTGTTGTTCGACAATTTATTTTTTATTTTTTTGCTTTGACCCGACAAGTAAAAAAATGCTGACCCCAAACTTTTTTAATCGAGATTGTACAATATGATGCATCACATCATATGTGTGATACATTTAAACGTGGCTCATCCAATCAGATTGTAACTATTCATTTTTTAATCCACCGTTATGCAGTAAGATTCTAGCTCAATAGAGTGGTGGAACTGTGATGTCACTTTGTAGGCAAAAACCAGGAAGCGAGTTAGCATTTTAGCACTTCCGGTTCCATCGTCCCAGAGTCAATGGGTTTTTTGAATGGGATTTTGGTTAAATCCCTAAAATAAGGTCCGTGGTTCACACAGGCTCAAGATACTTTCACGTTTTATTCTACGACATAAAACACACCAGTTACACCCCACTCGTGATTTTTTAAAACTGTTACGTTTCTTAAAAAAGACGGTTGCTAACAAGTTGCTAAATGGGACTACAGGCGTCGGAGACATTCAACGTCATCACGTCGAACAGTTTATCAATCAATATTTTCCAATCGTAGTATAATTTGTAATACAATTAATTGTAGAATAACCAGTTAATAGTTTCCCGCATTTTATATTGTTGTTCGACAATTTATTTTTTATTTTTTTGCTTTGACCCGACAAGTCTTCGGATGGAAAGATGCTCGTTTTATCGCTTTCCTGCTGATGCAGAGACTCTGGGTTCATAAGGTAAACTCATATTACGATTATTCCATGTAAACACCACATTTACCGGCTTAGTCACGGGAAAAGTGAAACTTTAATGATGCATAGTGCTTAAAGCCACGTTAAATTAAAATGCTTACGGCCACATGAAGCTATAAAGCATATAGTTTGAGGATTTCCTAGAAGCAAGAATAAAATAACGTTTTGTGTACCCACCCTAACAAAATGATAGCTGAAATGTGGTACTTTATTCACTAAAATAAGTTTAATCTTACCATATCCAAAAACGTGCTCACTCTGCTGTTAGATGAAATGCGCTAGAATTTTATTGAATAGTACGTGGAGACACGTTTTTAATTAAAATATTCATATTAATCAAGGATCTATTGACTTTTATTGCACCTTATTTCGAAATGTACAGAAATGCGTGCTTTCATATGATTCATTTATTCACTATACTATTTATTAGAAATGTCTCATTTCAGTTTTCGTTTGGCTCTAGTTTTGTATGTATTCCAGTTTATATGAAAAGGTTAATGTAGCGTGGATTAAAATTCATATACAGAGTAAATCCTTTTCACTGAAATACGTTTGAAAAAGTTGTCGGGAGCGTGGTGGTGGTGACGCTGAAGGCGAGCGGCTGTTTTTTGTCGAGGGAACCAGTGCGATGCTAACAGCCGATCCGGCTACAAAGTGACGTCATAGTTCCCCCACTCTATAGAGACTGTGTTCCAGGTGTTGCTGAAGCTGTTTAATATTCTTCCTCTTCCTCAGGTACCCCCCAAGCGTCGTGAGCCTTGCTTCAGGGGGTCTGCCTCCTTCAGTGGAGGGCATCATGCCAAGCACCGTGCCCATCACCCACAGCCTGCCCACCGCAGCCCACCCTCCGCACGCCCCGTCACCCGGCCAAACCAGCAAACCCGAACCCGACAGAGAGCAGCACCCTAACGAACAGTTGTAGCCCCCTCTTCAAAGGCTCTCCGTACCACTATAGAACTCTCCTGGTCCTTCTTTACCCCAAAGAAGAGGAGCGGAAACAGGCTCCCAGGCTCAGAACCAGCCACTTAAAAACAACCACGACTCTGATGTAGCCAGCTCTTGACTGAAGGTGGTGGACTTGCGCTCTTTGAAGTAACTAGTGGGAAAAAAACAACAACAAAAAAAGAGAAAATCTTGTGGATTTGAAACTTCTCCCTGATGCAAAACCCTGCTGTTTTAGATTGTAGTCTGTCCAAGTGCAGTGGGCGATCTTTTAACTGTTATTGTGTCTGTCTAATGGGTTTCATTGTTAAAACAACAGTAGCTATTACATGAATGTAACCTGTTTGTGTACAGTTTTTTGGACATGATCAATGGTTTGTAGACGAGAAAGAAAAATAGAAACCGCATTAAGGGAGGCATCTTACCACCTGATTATAGATACGATAACAAAAAGCATATTCGTTTCGCTCATTTGATTTTAAAAGCACCGATAGAGGCGGGATTTGCACACCCTCTCAGGAAAATTTATTTCCCCCCCTCCCTTCCTTCCTTTTAAATTAAACCACATAGTGCATTGTTTTTTGTACCCATTTGTCTTTTATAGTCTAAATTCAGTACAGTACTTATTTTTATTTTTGGAGCATGTATTACTTCATGTGTTAAAGGTTAAAAAGAAAACAGAAAATGTTCAATTTTTGAGCAAAAAGAAAAAAACTAAACAAATTTGTCTTGTGCAAAGCTGGCGTAATGCTTGCCTGTTTGTGTGTGACTTGATTGTACCGTGTTTTTCGAGGATGCCGGGATAGTTGCAGCTCTCCATCGCCTACATTGATTCCTTCCTGGTAAAGTGGTAGGCTAGCAATATACATACTATATATACTATGAGATATTCATATTTTTTGTTAAACAGAATCCAAAAAGAAATGTTTGTGACTGTATGCATTTGTATGAATTATTTTAAATGAAATAAAAGTCAGAGTTAAACGACACAGCAGCATTTCTGTGAGTTTCTCTCGCACTGATGTCATGCCAGGACAACAGAAATAGTGCAGATTCAGTTCAGGTTTCCTTTGTATTTGAACCCTTTTCAGGATATAAACACAATCACTGTGAGCACCCTCTTGTGGACGTTAGTTCTGTAATATGCAGATCAAAAGGTGCTTTGCTGCATCCTAGCATCTTGCTGAAAATAGTTCATACTGGGGAATGGGGTTTTACCTCCAAGCTGTGATCTAGCTCGCTCTGAAGAATTTGTATTAAAGGATAATTCTACCCAAATGTTCTGTCTTTTCCTCACCCTCATGTTGCTCAATGGGAGAAGTTTTGAAGAACATTCATCTGAGGTTCTCCAAAAAGGTTTTTATTAAAATAAAATAAAAATGTATTCTGACAAAATTAACCTTGCAAAGTTAGGCAACACCAGCAAATTTTTATAATTTTTTGCAGGTAGATCAATTAGAAAACATTGTAGCAATTCTAGGTTACCAATTTTTAGTGTAGTGTGAGGAGCAATAAAATTAATAACATATTTAGAAAATATATCAAATTTTCATGGCAACTTCAAATTTTGGATGAAATTTTGATTTGAATGATTGACCTATATTGACCTTGTAATTCTTAAAATAGCTCTTACAGTGAAATGCAGACTTCTCTCTCTCTTGATTGACGCCAAACTTCTCCAGCCACTTCATCTGCATAAACTCCGCCCCTTTATTTACAACCGCCTACAAGCTCGCTTTCAGATCTGCCTCCATTCAAGTGCACAGAACCAAGTCCCGCCCTGTAATTTGATCGGTTGTTCAATAATCCATTTCACTCAAATGTACATCTGTTGCTACTTCCATTTCATCGCAAATTTAAGGCCACGTTTACACGACGTCGATGTAGTCAAAAACGGAAAAGTTTTTCCCTTGCGTTTTTAAAAAGTTTCACGTATACACGACAACGTTTTCAAAACGATTCGCGTTTACACATATCCGTGAAAACGGCCAAAAACGCTGTATTATATATGCCAGGCCAGTAGTTGGCGCCGTCACCTTGTTAGTAAACAGTACCTGTAGAGAAGTGACGATTATATGTTGTATATGATGCATCTCCGCTGTTGGTTGTAATATTGGTGAAGTAAATCCACACTTTGCTGAAGAAGCGTTAGCAAACTCTTGAGCAGCAACAACAGTACCATGTACTCCGCCATTGTTGTGTATGTTGTTCACGCTTGCCTTTAAAATCGACACGTACTGCGTATGTCTACATACCTAACACGTACTACGCACTTACGCTCATGACGTCACCGTTTTCAAAGATTCACGTTTTGGGTGTTTACACGGAAATGATAACGGTACCGTTTTCAAAAACGTGCACTTTGAAACCCGTTTTCAAAAATATGCGTTTTCAGTCCCCAAAACACAGTTGTCGTGTAAACAAACAGGCAAAACGCATAAAAAAGTTCCCAGTTTTTGGCTGAAAACGTTGTCGTGTAAACAGCCCTTGAGTTCACAAAAAATGTTCTCCTTCCAATATAGCATTAAAACCTCATTAACACTTGTGGATATTAGGTTTGACGTCATCAACGGCAAACTACATTACTCCTTGCCTGTCTCATAACTGTTATATACTGAAGAGCTACTGTATGTTTTCATTGTGGGGAAAAGAGCAGCATGAACATTCCGCTAAATTTCTCTTTTTTTGTTCCACAATAAGGAAGAAAATCAAATAGATTTGGAACGACATGAGGGTGGGAAATTCTTTTTCATTTTTGGCAGAGCTATTTTTTTAACACAGTGGATAAAATCATTAAACCAGTGCACAAGCTAGCAAGCGCTTCTAATTACTTGGTCAGAAGCGTTGAATTGGGAATGTTCTTTACACATTGAGGTGGGGGGAGGTGATGACTCAGCATTGAAACTGATCCCTGCGCATGCTGTTTTCCTTCCAGCAATGTCTCTCAGCAGACCTCCATAATTCCCGCATCCTGTCCTCTGCTTGTTCTGGATTTCCTTTTGGTGCATTTTGCCACTGAACATAAGAAGAGGCCTTAGAGAGTCCCTGAGCAGTTTGTCAAACCAAAGAAAACTGAAGAAAACTCGAGCCTGAGAAGAACGAACGGACGCTACTTCTAAACAAGCACTGCAGAGCATTATAAAGCATCGTAAAGGCTCTGATTCGTTTACAATCATCATTGTTAAATAAGCCCTGTTCATGAGCAAACAGCTTTGTAAACATGCATGTGCGATCTGAACGTTGTCAGGGTAGCTGAACATTATCTAACCCAAGTACTCATACTGCATGCAATGCGATAGCACTGAATCTGAGCGATACATTCTCATTCAGGACCACAGTTATAGTTTGTATTCAATTTTTGGGGTTATATGTGTTCATAATAGTTCTTGAGATTGTTCTGATGCTGGCGACACAAACCAGATTGGAAATGTGATCATAAAGGGCCAGCAATGAACTGAATTTAGCATGTATAGCATCATAGGAGTATGGAAGCCCGTTTCTGCCACTGAATAAAAAATAAAAAATGTAATTGCGACTTTTTATCTCACAATTCTGACTTTTTTTCTCATAATTGCGTGATACAAACTTGCAATTCTGCATTTTTTTTCTCAGAATTGCGTGATATCAACTCGCAATTGCGAGACATAAAGTCGCAATTTTGATAAATAAAGTCAGAACTGCGAGATATAAACTCACAATTCTGACTTTTTTTCTCATAATTGCGTGATACAAACTTGCAATTCTGCATTTTTTTTCTCAGAATTGCGTGATATCAACTCGCAATTGCGAGACATAAAGTCGCAATTTTGATAAATAAAGTCAGAACTGCGAGATATAAACTCACAATTCTGACTTTTTTTCTCAGAATTGCGAGTTTATACTGACTCGCAATTCTGAGAACATATCAGTCTCCCCCCCTCAAAATTGGACTTTATATCACGCAATTCTGACTTTATAACTCGCAAATGTGTTATAAAGTCAGAATTGCGAGATATAAACTCACAGCCCTGTTGAAAAAACCAGCATATGCTGGTTTTTCAACAGTGAATTGCAAGAAAAAAAGTTAGAATTGCGAGTTTTTATCTCGCAATTCTGACTTTATAACTCGCAATTGCGAGTTTATATCTCACAATTCTGTGAAAAAAAAGTCCGAATTGTGGGATAAAAAGTTGCAATAATCTTTAAAAAAAAAATGTATTCAGTGAAGGACGTCGGGTTTGGTTGTATCTTCTACTTGGGAGGCGCACTTTGTATTTCCGGCATGTTGTGATGTCCGTTAGGCGTCAGTCTGTCCTGAAAAATGTAGAGGTTGTTGCTGGCTGCGATGGCGATGATGTTTTCTTTGGGGTGCCAGGCAGTATGGAGGATTTTCTTCCTGAAGTCCAGACTGTCCACGCTGACGTCTGTCTCTTTCCGCTTCTTACCCACGCACACACGCCGCGGCTGCAGGACCGCCCGCCGCTTACACACCTCCCGACTGGCCTCCAGAGTCACGTCACGCAGACTCGCCCGGTCAAACATTCGGAAGTAGTTGTTGTAAGCGCCTGTCATGATCACGCTGCAGAGGAAGAAGACATGGAAGCTGGGATGCTGGTTTGAGCTGGTTTATGCTGGTCATGTGCTGGTCTTAAGCTGGTTGGACCAGTTTAGGACCAGCACAAGACCAGCTAAGGACCAGCATAAACCAGCAAAGGACCAGCTTAAACCAGCTCAAACCAGCATCCCAGCTTCAAAACATACCTAACCAGCATATGCTGGTTTTTCAACAGTGAATTGCAAGAAAAAAAGTTAGAATTGCGAGTTTTTATCTCGCAATTCTGACTTTATAACTCGCAATTGCGAGTTTATATCTCACAATTCTGTGAAAAAAAAGTCCGAATTGTGGGATAAAAAGTTGCAATAATCTTTAAAAAAAAAATGTATTCAGTGAAGGACGTCGGGTTTGGTTGTATCTTCTACTTGGGAGGCGCACTTTGTATTTCCGGCATGTTGTGATGTCCGTTAGGCGTCAGTCTGTCCTGAAAAATGTAGAGGTTGTTGCTGGCTGCGATGGCGATGATGTTTTCTTTGGGGTGCCAGGCAGTATGGAGGATTTTCTTCCTGAAGTCCAGACTGTCCACGCTGACGTCTGTCTCTTTCCGCTTCTTACCCACGCACACACGCCGCGGCTGCAGGACCGCCCGCCGCTTACACACCTCCCGACTGGCCTCCAGAGTCACGTCACGCAGACTCGCCCGGTCAAACATTCGGAAGTAGTTGTTGTAAGCGCCTGTCATGATCACGCTGCAGAGGAAGAAGACATGGATTGAGAGGGAACAGATGCAGAGCAGCTGGATGCGCTCGGGTTATATTTCAAAGGTCAAAGGTGATGTTTATTCATGTTATTGGCCTCACCTGTCCGTTCCGTTCCAGGTACATTCAAACTTGTCAAAAATACAATCGCTTTCATACAAAGAGCACAATTTGGTTTGCAAGTAGTCGTGGACCTAAAACACAAGCGAACATAAGACAGAAAGAGCAAGAGAATTCTGTACAAAAACACTACACTCTAAAAAATGCTTGGGTTGTTTTGACCCAGCGGTTAGGTTGTTTTGAGTCAAAACAACCCAACCGCTGGGTCAAAACAACCCAATAGCTGGGTTTGTCCCTTTTTAACCCAGCATTTTTTAGAGTGTAGAGTTAAGGTTATTCGTGTTTAGTACATGATACATGCATGCAAGCTTCTTTATACAGTGGGTACGGAAAGTATTCAGACCCCCTTAAATTTTTCACTCTTTGTTATATTGCAGCCATTTGCTAAAATCATTTAAGTTAATTTTTTTCCTCATTAATGTACACACAGCACCCCATATTGACAGAAAAACACAGAATTGTTGACATTTTTGCAGATTTATTAAAAAAGAAAAACTGAAATATTATATG